TTTTTTTCTGTAAAGTTTTCAATATCTTCACTTGACAGTATAAGCTCATTTATTAGAATAAAATCCAGTTTATAAAAATTGACAAAATGTATTTGCGACTCAAACCTACATTTTTTTACATTATATAGAAGATTTCAGACAAGAAAAAAATTTTTTTAAATCAATGTTTCTGCCAAAGTAAATATATCTCGCTTTAAAAACAATAAGACAGTATATTTCTGCGAAGCGGACGGTATTGAACAATTAAGAAATACTAATCAACGACAATCAAATTTAAAAGTAATTCACGTGAGCACTTGACTAGAGAGCAAGAGAGAAACAATGATAATTTTATTAATATACAAGCTTCACTCTATTTATCAATGTCTTAGACATAAAGAAATACTTTTTACGGAAAAGTAAGACGTCACATAGACTTTATAAGAATGGAATTTGTCATGGTGGTCTTTTCAAAGGAATAAGAAGGAGCAATAAAAGTGTTGAAAAACAACTTATCTTTGCTTAGATTACTTATAATTTTATTTTACAAATTAATGTATGTATTTTTAAAGTTCACTGATTTTGCGTCGCAGGTGAAATATTTTTATGAGACAAAATGTTCAGCGTATACATGTGTTTGTAAATTTTTTATTTCTGAATGCTACCAACCGAAAATTATTGATTTCTTTATTCGGAAATATACTTTCTCCCTCACTAAATTGTGGTCTTCTACTAATTGTGGTCTTCCCTTCTAAAGGACTATACGGACCCTTCGCAAAATCAATACAGTAAGAAACAGGGATTATTCGAGCATAAAGGGAACTCGTGTTCGAAGCCGAAGCTATTTTTGTCCCTTTCGAGCACAACTAACTTGATAACTTCATCTCGACACAAAGAAGAAATTAAATTAAATTTACGAATTTATCGCTAAGCAATTTATCGATAAAAAGTTATATAATTGAGTCGTATAAATAAGATAAAAGTTGATATATCGAAATTATGTCATGATAATTAATCGACGACACTCTCACTGTTTGACCTCTTTAAAATTTTTGGAGTGAATCACTCTGAAGGGTTCTCATTCTTAAAGATTAAACTCTTTTTCAAGATTCGCTCAATTTTCACACTTTACAGTGAAATTCCAAACAGTTTAGAGAGTATTAAAACAATCAAACAATAAATAATAGTATCATAAACGATAATAAATAAAAAAAAAAAAAATTTTTACTATAATTGCTAATAGAAATTGCGTTTACATTATTAAATATCTGTTACATTATTTGTTCCATTTTGTAATATTTAATGATAAAGTACAGTTATTGATCGTTAAAGGAATAAGATTAATAGGAACGAACGTTCTGTTTTTTATAGTAAATGTGCCACGCTAAACATCGGATTTTCTGTAGTTATTGCCCGAGTTACAAATACTTTTCCACTCTTACGCCTTTCTGGAATATTAACTGTATATTTATAATCAAGATGGCTCCAAAGTGATTATTAAAAGTTATTTCTCGATTGATCACGATCCATTTTGATGTCATTGCAACGTTATCATATTGTTCTGCTTGGGATAGATCAAAATAGTCTTACGTGAAAAAATAGATATTTTCTAGCAACGTACACAGATAACATTATGTAACAGTATACGATTCCGTGCTTTCCATTTATGACACAGCTAAAATGTCGTGTTCGACTGTGTTGTCGTTTTCCATCATTTTATGAATATCAAATTTTTATATTTTTGACCATTTATTTTCTAGAAGTGATACTCCGATACGAAGTTCAAAATTTATACATTTGAATTCATTGGAGACATTGGTGTATAAAATCTTTTGCATTCTTATCAACGATCCATTTGTATCCGTTTTATACCAGTTTTCATTTTCTTTTTTATAATTTCTTATTATTTTCTTTCATTCTTTATCGATTTCACGTACATTTGACTTGTCCTCAATTCCAATTTATTTAACCGGCGCTTATTCCTTTCGAAAGGAAGATTACTTAAAGAGACTACATATCTCATGTTAGTCCAAAGTTCCCACAAATAAAACAGACGATTATGGTAATTATCGAACGAGAGATATTGAGAAGTATATATGTAAACAGAAAAATTAAATAAGTAAAGGAAGGTCAAGAAATGATGCTTAATAATATATTAACATGTAAATTTCAATATTTTAATTTGTAAGATTATTATTCCATTCTTAGTTTAAGATTGCATTTACGACAGTAAGCGGCGAGCATATAAATAGTTATATAATCTGCACATTGCTAGACTTGAAATGCAATCATAAATCGAGACTAAAATAATAATCTTATAAATTTAATTTTAAATAACATTTACCCATAATCACCGCCAAGTTCGGTAAAGTCACGATAAGTCGAACTGATTCTGCAAATGATCACAGGAATCTTGAGCAAGGATTTTCCTGCAGAGTCGATCCGTGAGATTATTCAGACAATTGACCGACAATTCTGTCTCCTTACAGTCTTCGAGGCACTGTCGATACGGAATACCGACTCGAAGTATTTGAACTTCACGCGTACATTATAACCATCTCCTTCTCCGCGACGAAGACACCGTTATCTTATTCGCATTACGTTCTGTTATCTCCTTCCACCATTATAGTCGCACAGCCGTCGGAATAATCGCCGGCGCGTCGACATATACGAAGCGTGAAGCATCGACGTGCTGTGTGCAAAAATCGTTGTCCACAATTGAACGTCGCTTTCTATAGGTGTGGATGCCGTAGCTCATGGATGGCACATGCGCCGATTATGACCACGATCAGGGTTGGCAAGTTTTCGCAATACCAGTTTTGGTCCGCCAATTTTGAACGCCCAAGGTATCACCGTGAATGACTTTTTCTTTTAGATCCTTAATAATACAGTTTCAAACGTATTTTATCAGACAGTATAATATTATATGGAGTTGCCCGTACGCTCTTTTATCTTCGCAGGATAAAGTCCAATCAGAAATATGTTATGGGTTTAAAAAGATCTACTAGTCTTATTAGTTCGACTTTGGAAGATCAGGTCAAGATTGCATTGATTTTTTTTAAATGAAAATCTCCATTTTTTATTACATATTCTTATAGCTTATCTCGAGAGTTTTTCAAAATACCATAATAAAAATATTTTTTCATTAAGTATTTTTGAGTTATAATTAAGGATTGAAAGTTACAGTACTGCCTTAGGTAAGAACATTGGCTGCGTTCGGCAGAATAGCTTTGCAAATATTTATTTATAATTATCTGCTGAGCTAAGACCATTCTTCTGGATCTAAAAGTGATCCGTGAGATATGATCTGTGAGCGTGAAGAAAACTTCCGACAGTGCATAATAAACGTTTTTGAACGCAGCCAATTTGTAGGCAAATAAAGTCCTCCCATTTAATACTATATCAAAAGCTGTACCTAATTACTCTATAAGCGCAAAATATTCCTAGAATGTTATATAGATATTATTCAAAAAATTAAAATAAGTTATTATAATATTTTGAAAATATCATATAATACTTTTTAATATTATGAGAGTATTCTACAGAGGTTATATGTCCACTTATATACCTTAAATATTATATCTTAATATCCATGAAAGATTATTAAAATATTTATAAATCTTAATTATTCTTAATTTAGTGCAATTTAAATTCACAATCCAGCAACGAAAAGTTCTTATCAGTTTATACTGCATCTTGTGCTAAAAAAACGTTTTGGCATGATTTTATATATACATATCCAGTTCTACAATTGCGCGTCAAAATTATTTTCAATCTTTAAACGTATACTTATACCAAACAAATATAACAATTTTACAAATTAAAATAAATTTTGTTATAATACTTTTTAATGTTTATGCAATATTACAGTAACATTAAATAATGTTACTTTTAATAATCATACAATATTATCAGAAATGGACAAAGTTAACCTTTCATTTAATATTTCAAGAATATTGTTTAATATTATATAATTTTAGTACAATATTCTTAAAATGTTACATTTAATATTATGTAAGAATATGCCTAAAATATTACTTAATATTAAATAGTATTATCCGCTTATAGGATAATTACATAGATATTATTTTATGTAAAATTTTATTTCCATAGTCAATAATATCGATATATTTCAAGCATGTCTGAACCCTCGAGGTCCTATTGAATGTCATGATAATTTGCCCAGAATAGATCTTAGTATTCAACTGATATTCAACGCATTGTCGGTTTAAATTTCGCGCCTTTTAATGTGCGCAAGATCAAAAGAACAAACATCAAGTTGATGGCGTTCGTGCCTCACCATACCCCACTACGCTACCGCCTACTACTGTCATCCATATCATTCTGATCACTCATCGATGATTTTATGGAAATGTGACTATTTTACAACCGCAAAGAGTATTTCGATGTTTTGGCCAGTGTTTCCGAGGAGAATCGACAGACCAATCGATTGATTATTCTTCCTGGACCAACGGAAACCCTTAATACCAGGGTTACATCGTTGAAGACGTAAACAGAAAAGTGCGCAGCTGTTCCTTCATTTAAATACTTTGTTTTGTATCGAGGTAGGTCAAATGAGATGTTAGATGGTTGATGATTTATCCCGTCCTCAAAAAAATATTCTAGTTGTATTTTCGTATTCAAATTTCGAAGTTTAGATAGTTAAAATGATTGTAGAAGTTTAATTTTATTAGGTTGTCACAGGTTAAAGTTGAGACTATATACATAATGGAGTACTTATGAAATTATTGTTCAGGTCACTGCTAATTTGTGTCATTATCTATTTTTTAAATGAGCGATTTGCGTGTTTAAAAGCAGATTGAACAGTTGCCTGCATACAGCCACATAGCAATATGTTGTTTTCAATTGTGATATGATAAGCAAATCCCACTGGGAGAATGTGATTAAAGAAAAATTGAGTTAATGTTAGTAAAAAATAAAACGAAAATCTTTACGTATGTTATCTATTTATCACATTTAACCACATATATGCTATATACTTTGTTACAGAATCCAATATGCCAATTTTATACAGTGTGGTGGCTCGTGGAACAATTATATTGGCGAAACATGCTGCGTGCGTTGGAAACTTTGAAGAAGTCACAGCGAAAATCTTGGCAAAGATACCACCGGACAATGACAAACTCACATATTCGCAAGGGCCTTATCTTTTTCACTATATCTGCGAGGATCGCCTTATTTACATGTGTATTACTGATGATGTATGTTTTAGATACAAATCTTTACATTGAAAGTGACACAACTAAAAAAATTAAATTTTTTGAAAAAAGTCAAAAACTATCTTTTCCTCTTGAGAAAGTTATCGAGTCAATTAATAACGGAAAAAGAAATATATTCTTATTATGATTAAATATTATTTTTATCATTTTTATGTTAAAATTCATAAAAGAATCACCCTTTTTAAATTATAATGATTTTTCTTAAAAACTATCCTTTTTTAGTTGTTAGATGATTTTAACATTTTTTTCATAAAGTTAAGTTTATTTTGATGATTGATATAATAATGATGAACTTAACTCATTCACGGTAATATATAATTCGAAAATCACGTTTTTTCAATGTCATTTTTTAAGCGATATAATAAAATTTTGTTTCAGGATTTTCAAAGATCCAGAGCATTTTTGTATCTCAATGAAATCAAGAGAAGATTCTTGGCTGTTTATGGACCAGGTGCTCAAACTGCCGTAGCTTATGCCATGAACACAGAATTTGGCCATGTATTGGCTAACGAAATGGTACTGTCAGAATTGATTATGCATCTTAAAACACTGTCTCACACTTTACATTTTTTAGAAACATTATAGCGAATCTAAAGATCTTGATAGATTGTCTAAAGTTCACGGCGAGCTAGATGAACTTAAAGACATAATGGTGAAAAATATCGACAATATAGCGATGCGTGGCGAGCGATTGGAATTGCTTGTAAACAAAACAGAAAATTTGTCTGCTAATGTATGTAAAAATATGCTGTACAACTTAACATTGTTAATCATAGAATATTATAAAATTCACTTTTTTATTCTAGTCCGTGACATTCAGAAAGACAAGTAGAAATCTAGCACGCTCCTTGTTTTGGAAGAATGTCAAAATTTATGTTATTGTCGGCGCAATTTTAATAGTAAGTCCAACATTGCGGTCAATTTCGGATCTTTCTAATCTCTGTTGTAGTCTAACTTGATTCATTTTTTCTGTTGCAGGTTGTAGTATACGTGATTGTTTCTATAACGTGCGGAGGCTTGGCTTGGCAAAAATGTGTGGGAAATTAATACATTATATATATATATATGTACGATACAGTGTTCAAATGCCAATTGAATATATACGGAAGAAAAGTGAAAAGTGCGTGAAAATCTAGTATAAGACTGACAATTATTAGATCCACGAAGTTACACTATTTACCAATTTATTGTTATATCTTAATTTCCGTAATACAATAAGAACATTCTACTAAACGTATATATGTATATATATATATATATATATACATACACATCTGCAATATTTATCAATAATACTTATTTATATGATTACTATTTTACAAGAATCGTAACATCATTTATATTCTGTGGACAAGATATATAACTTTAATTTTCACACCGAAATGCACCATATTATATCTTATTTTAAAAATAAAAACATTTTCTTGTTCAAGTTCTATATTTTTATAATGTGATATGTCCCATTTCTTTATGAAGATAATGTATTTCAAGCTGTGTAAAACAAGATACATAGTATAATTTGCATAACATTCTTGACTCAATCGGACGCGGAGCATCAAGAAATATTAATGCCAGAAATTGTATTAAAAAAATGGAACAGATATTAAGGGAAATAGATCTGCTCTCGTTTGGAGATTCCAATTTCCTCTGAAAATCGACACGGTATCGACAGAACGTCATCCGGATCGTGTCGATCCGAGGCGAGGCGAGGCGAAGTGGGGCGAGGTGAGGCAAGGCGAGGGTCCATAAGTCGATTCTCTCGCTACAGGGCGTGCGCGGTGCGCCGCGATGCAACGAGAACGACGTCGTTCGGCGCTGGGCGCAGCGGTGTGCGACGGGTGGCGGCGTCGTGGCGCGGGCGCTCTTGGGCGCTCTCCCGTCGCAAAGCCCGGGCCATCGCAGCAGCCCGGCGGCTCTCGCAGGATGTCGATGTCTCGCGCGGCGCGCCCTTCGGGAGGTGCCGAAGTGTCTTCGTGCCTCGTATACACGCGCCACGATTGATCGCACTCCGTCCCCAAACTCCGAGATTTTGAGCAAAACATTCCTTCTTTTTTATAGACGTCCCGTCCTACCTCCTTCCCGTTCAACAAGTTTCACGGTCCCTTCCTAGAGATTTTTCTTTCGTAAAAGAAGAGAGAAAAGAAATTAAAAGAAATCCATCGACAGACCGGTAACAGAAAA